AAAAAAAAAAAAAAAAAAAAAAAAAAAAAGAACAAGAATAGGAATAAACTAGTATTTTTGCTAATATGAATAACCAAATAATTCCTTCCCTCCTTTCATCCGATATTAGTTTTCACACTTACATAGCTTTATATCGTATTTTATGTTATTGAATTAGATATTTGGCAAAAAAAAAAAACTGACTAGAAAACATCAATAAAAAATTTAAAAGTTCTTTCAAGTTTAGTTTTTTATTCACCTGAAAATCTGTTTGAAAAGAACAGGGTTTGAAAAAAAAAGTATTTCCTGCTAGATTACTGCAGAAGTTTTATTTTATTTTATTTTTTATTTTTTTGATAAGCTCTATAGATTAGAGAAATAAGTTTTATTAATCAATCTCCATGCTCTTTCTCTTCTACTTCCTTTTTTCCCTTCTGCCATGTGTTTGCTACAGCAAAGTTCACTGCTCCGCTTCAGAAAATAATGACTAATGTCGACGTAAAGCAAACCGAAAATAGTTTGGCACGCAACACAGAGATACATTAACATACATTCACAGATATACAGTTTGACAATAATCTATGAGCAGCACTTTACAAATTCGTTCAACCGACAAATTTTAGAGAAAAAAAAATTCCATTATGTTTATGGCAATAATTTAATGTTACCGTCTTATAAATACACTTTAATCCGTCTTATTTTCATCAAGTAATTAGATCAAACATTTCAGCAGCAGATTTACAAAAAATGCTTTCGAAAAATATTAAACACTTCATCATAGAAGTACAACCGTATTCTTAAATTAAACAAAATTCACTGGGTATTTCACTGAGCAAACTACAAATAAAAGAAATAATCGTATGTACATAAATGATATACATAAATAAAGTAGTTGTTTTAAAATGATAAAATTAAATAAAACAACGTTTGCATAATTGAATAAATATTTAAATTTTCTTTGTGTATTTTTAACATTAGCATTATCAACAGTTTAGGTAATCTACAAGAAAAAAAAAAAAGTAACTACAACAACTGTGTTTACATGACAGACTAAATCTGAACAGTAGATATAATCGCTGACACTTTGAATTGCACAGATCATATGAAGTCGTCTTTATAGACGGTTACTCAGAAGACACATTTTCCCGTTAACAAAACTGTGTTCAGTAATCAGCGTTCTCCAATAGAGAACAGCTGCAACAACCAACAACAAAAACAGCTAAA